CATGAGAGGCAGTGTTATCTCTTTGATAGTGGCTCTGGCCGGCGTGCTCGTTACTGCCAACCCTACGCCGGATGCAGGTACCGACTGCCTAGAGGCTTGTAGGGCCCAGTGCAAGGCTGAAGGAAAGGCAAGTAAACGTTATATGATCTTCATTGCTCGTCTTAACCAGTGATATCTTTCTAATATACATAATAGGTCGGTGCAGGCCGCGTCCAGTGTTCTGGCAGCACTGTTACTTCCTGCACATGCAGGTAAGAGGTTTGGACCTCTTGGCAGCAAATCACCAGCTTGGGAGGAGGGAGGAGGGAGGAGTTTACTGGGACGTCAGAATCCCCACCAGTCACACAAAGATTGCAGAGATATTTGTAAAACCCTGGCTAATCGTCTCCTGGTCTTCAATCCTCAGCCAAGACGGCACCAGACTAAAGCCCATCAAGTAATACAACTTCTAAGTTCTTACCCTGATTTGCAACCCTTGATCAGCTCCACAAACGCAGTAGCAAATGGAAGAAATGAAACGAGCCGAAGATAGGTTCATTTGTTCGCACTGTGAAGACCCAGTCCAAAGATACTGTGGCAAGTACTCCAAGGGACAAGGTGATGGCAACGCGTTGCATCGATTTAACAGTTGGAGTGTGCACTCCGGTACCCATTATTCCTGTATTTATTACCGTCAATGAAATTAAGGGCGTTGCAAAGATGACAGATGGCATAGAGGTAAGAACGTAATACGGCCGCAAAGCCTAGGGGTTATGGCCAACTTCACTTGAACCAGCAATCTTGGTGGCGGTAGAGTAGGTCGGAATTAACAATGATGGTTAATAGCTAGATTTAGCTAGTTCTTTAGAATCCAGGGTCTAATGACTGTGACACGAATGGTATTATCAATTACGCCCTTCTCCTAGACTGTCGTAATGTTAGGAGGTTGCAATAGTAAGGACTAAAGGATTCAAAAATAGTAATAGTTAGGGGTCAATTATGGCAATTAATATTCCAAATCTATCCTTATTCTATGATCTGAAGATCCCTTTGCTCGCCCTTCAGTCTTTGGTTTATCTACCGCGTCAGTACTAGACAGATGATTATCGCACGCATCTAATAAATACAAAGACTACCACAAGGTGTACTGCACATTACGTCCAATTAGAAATACTAGCAGGCCGTCACACCCAAAGTTAAAGAATACTAAGTACTATATGGATTTAAGAATAGTATATAAATATACGAGAATAGTATAAGTATTTAAAACATCTTTTAAATTTTTTTTCTAAATTTTATAGTCTACCTACATTGTTTTATATAGTTTATAAGATATAGTGTCTTTTAGCAGGATCCTAGCGTTTCAAAATACCTTACATGTGGGGGTAGCAGCTATCCTCCTAGTACCTTAACCTGCTATTTAAACAATATTGCCTGCGCGGATCCACTAGAAGAGCAAGCAAGCAGAGCTAGGGTTTTGCATCTTTACAGAGAGTGTAACAAGAATTAGGTGTAAAGCATGTAATAAGTATTAGCTCTTTCCTTACAATGGCAACGTTTTCCTTGCTGCTAAGATGTGATGACGTAAATCACTTAGTCCTCTAGACTGGAGTTGTGCTTCCTAAATGTTAAAGACAGAAAATGTTACTTAATAACCAGGTTCCGATATTAGTAAGACGCGCCTGCCAGTGGTTTCCTCTACTAACACAGACACAGTACGCTTTCTTCCAAGATAATCCAACCTGCTTACCTAGGTAGGCACGTAATAGTAATAGGTACATGTTCAGTCTATCCTCGAAACCTAGCTTCCCCCTCATATACTATGTTTGACCATGCTCTTTTTTGGCGCTTCTTTTCTCTGTTGTTGCGTAGCCGATACTGAGTTTATAGCTTGCATGGAAGCTGAAGGATACCAATTCTGAAGTGGTTACATAGGCCCTTTCACCTCAGTATGCATGATGGTTGAGGTGTAACACAATTATAATCCGTCGCCTTTGACAGAAGTGAATATTTTACAGCACCAGTTAGCGCTCAGTTGGGATATTTGGAAGTAAGAAAAAAAGAAAACAAAATTCAGCATAAAATCAGTTGCCGCTATATACACGCAGCACCTTCGGTCTGACATCTTATAGGGGAAAACCTCCGGCACTAACGCTGCTTGGCTCCTGACCATCACAGCCATCCTTCTTAGATCCCGTCATTACAAACTCAACTTCCTTAGCAGCAAAAAACTGATTGAATGATATACGACAGCGTCCCATAGATACGCCGTCAAGCTTAACGGTATCTACAAAGGCACGGGCGTTTGCAGGTATGTCACGTGCTAGGCTAGCTGGATCAAAGCCTGTAGCTTTAACAACAACACTTCCAAGCACTTCATTTTTTACCTCGTACTGAGGCATGAATGGTGACAGCACCAGCATTTCGCCCGAGCCGGGCACAGGATAGAAGCCCAGCATATACCAGACCAGAAGACTTGCCATAGCAGCGTTATCATCGTTACCCGGAAGCCCGTTTCGGCTGATGTTGAAATTGTCATAGACGACGCGGCGTACTTGCTGGATCGACTCGGCAGGTTTCCCAACGTGATGAAAGAGAGTCGGCGTTTGGAAGCTGGGCTCATTGCCCGGGAGGTAGTAGCCCGCGTCAAAAAAGTGGTGTAAGCGTTCTTCAAATGTTGAGTTGCCCCCAAGCAGAGTAATCAATCCTCTCACGTCGTGTGGTGCATAAAAGCTGTATTCCCAACTGGAACTCTCGTACACACCATACGTGTTAGTGTTCTGTGTGCTGCATGTTCGTGTCTGATATTTGTCGAGTGGAGAGCAATCCGTCGGGTCTGACGGTAGGAAAGTGCCATTGAAACGACGGCGAGCTACAAAGTTGGAAAAACCATCGGATTGCAGATCCGGGTTGAAGTTTGCGCGGTATGACAGGCTGCGATTGAGGAGGGCATTGGAGACAGACTCAGGCTGGCCCAGCGCTCGGGCTGCCATGGCAGCAGTGAAGTCTCCAAACGCATACTCAAGCCCGCGGCTTGCCTCGCGCGTCCTTTGACCCGTAGAGATGGTATCCAGGAAGTCCCAGGCGACGTAGCCGATCTTGTTGTAGGACTCAACGCGACGGCCCGTGTGATCCCAATTGGGGGGCGCCTCGTTCACGTCATGCGCCAACGCATCCCAGAAGTCGTCGAGGCAGACATTCAAAATGCCTGCATGTGCCGCGTACTTGACGACGAAGTCGGCAACGATTGGAACGGCGTTATTGCCGCCTTGAACCCAGCCATAAACATTATTAGCCCGGCATTCGGGCAGCCACCCCTCCCGGCGCCATCCATCAACGTATGTATCGACAATTTGAGCCATCTCTCGCGGTGATGTTAGGGCCATCAGTGGAAATAGTGTTCGGTACGTGTCCCAGCTGCAATATAGGCCATCAAAATAAGGGTGTGAGGAGTTGGAGTATGGCGGCGGAGCGTTGGTTGTGGCATTATTGGGTGACAAGAAGGTCCTGTAGAAAGAAGTGTAGAAGAGCCTTTTGATAGTATCGTTTGTGTCGGCGGACAGGACTATACGACCTAGTTTCCTTTCCCACTCGGCGTTGCTTGCTGCGACAACCTCATCAAAGTTAGGCTCGGGGATTTCTCGTTCCATATTCTCACACGCGCGCTCTGGCGACTTAAACGATACTCCACGGCGCACGAAAACGAAATTTTCATCGCCACTCTCGCTGTACATGTACCGCACGATAGCGCCGGCCTGCGTGTCCGGCTTGAAATCGACCCTGTTCAGGCGCTCGTCAATGTGTGCCAGACTCCAGCTGTCAAGATCGGAGCGACGAGATTCCCACCCCTCGTCGTTCCCCCCATAGAAGGCATGCTCCGTTGCGGTCTTAGTGAGGGCCAAATCGACACATTGGAAAGCTGTGTATGCAAAGTGGCTGGGACCAAAACTGCTACGCCACGTGCCGTTCATCACGAGCCGCTGCTGGCTCCAGTTCACCCGCATCTCGCCGTATAGAAAGGTTTTCGCTGAGTCGCCAACCCAGTCTAGTACCAGCGTCGGCGCGGTATCCTGCGGGAAAACATATTTCTCTAGCGAAGCTGCCTGGGTGGATGCCAGTTCAATCCGTACACCACTTTCGAGTGACGTGCTAAAATAGCCAGGGAAACCTGTGTCGTTTTGGCCGTCGCCTATTCGGCGCAAAGACCGCTGCAGTTCCAGCGCAGGGCAGTCGGTGAAGGTTCTGCATACCACAGGCATGATGGGAAAGTTGCCATAGCTGCCTGCTGAGCTTCCAGTGCCGGAGTCATGCAATGGTGACACCCCACGCATTAGCTCAGTCGATTCAGACACGTACCCAGCCGGCGCATACCCCGCTACGTTAATACCCACCTTCGCCATTGCAAATGGGACTGCTGCACCGGCAAATACATTGCCTGGGTTGTCGTTCTGCGCTGTACCCGTAAAGACATTGACATACTGCGTGAGCGGCCCAGGCACCTTTTCTATGGCGAAGCTTCTTTTTGACAGGACCTGTAATAAGACTAAAACACCGGTTAAGTAACGCATAATAGTTTCTCAAGGCTAGACGCCAAAGACAGGTTCGTGTGTGTAAAAAAGATATATCAAAGACGATGCTTTTAACATATGGCTTTCTACACCACGTGAACTGGAGTTTTGGAATCCGACATTACTGGAAAGACTTTTACAAGAACAAGCGGGCCATACGACTTCTTTAAGATTGAGGAAAAGGGTAATTGAAATGGCCAGCACAGAAAAGCTTCCATTTAGCCTTTAGCATGTGACGCAATGGATCACTCGTTTCCTACCTTGACCTACAATATTAGCATTATGCGACAGTTTTAGGTTTAAGGCCTAGTAAGAATGAAATCTTCAAGTATGTTACGTAATAGCGAATAACTTGGGGTTAAAATTTAAACAGGTGAACCATGTTTTGAGTTCAATAGTCTCTGAGTTCCAAATACGCAAAGCTTTAACATGCCGCTACTAAGATCCTACCGAATACAAAGCAAATTACACACATAATTAGTGACATGAAGTATTTAATCATTGATGAAAACGATCCCTGGAGCTGTGTTCTCTCCGTGAAGCTGCTCAGGTTTGTGGCCCAACCACTCTGGCTGAGAAGAGGAAGGCAGGCTCTTATCGCTTTAAATCTGCATTGAGTGTTATCCTAGCCGCAAATCATATATTTATAGGAACATTTCGGTTAGTAATTTTTTTCTTTCATTCCAAAGAAGCCAATCAAATAAGAGTTTAGTTTGACAACGTACTTGACATAGCTATATAGTTAGAAAAGAAACGGAAAACGCAAGGAGTTACAATAGTCGCGTTTGCATCAGGGCAAATATAGAGATCAAACTTTTCTACCTGGCTGCCGCCGCAGCAGCAGTGAGTCTGTCCAATGACATCGTCGCGGTTGCGGGCTGGCGAGATTTGGCTGCAGTCCAAGCGGGCCTCAACGGCATGGGCATCAAGGTCATTAGGCAAGGCCAGAGTTACGACTGCAAAAAGAGAGAGGACAGGAATGGCGAAGAATTCTAATTTGTAAACTCCCTCGGGGATATTGAGGCGTGAGTCTGAGTCTCGTGATTTGCGTTTTCTCGTAGATGGGCGAGTGTATTAAGATTAATATAGATGGAAGCAGAAGGTGTCACTTTGGGGACCTATATCCTTGTTACTTTGCGAAATGGATTCTCTTCACTGCTCTGTGCACTATCCATTGAAAAGATTGACTGACAGCCCTATAATTAACCGCATCTTGCCTTCTTATTCGTCCTTGCAGCTTTCTCCTGATTCTATCATTCCCGTGCAATGTTGCTCTGGAGTATCACAGTGTACATGTAGTTTGAAAAGAAGAAAAACCAATGTCTAATAACCTTCCCTTTTAGTTAAAGCTCAGTGGCCACCAGAACATTATTTTTGTAGCTCTTAGAATTGAACACTTGGCAATCAAGTCCCTCTCCTGAATCGTACGCGAGACAGTCTAGATGTGGCGATACTCTAAGAAGGCTTGTGACTCTGGGTAGTTTCTAATGATCAGATCATGATATATCTAATCCTTTAACAATAAAATATAATATATTGTCATACTAAAAACGACGCCGTTAGTGGCAGAGCAGCAACTAACGCCTTATATAGGACCTATATAGGTCACAACATATATACTCTGAGAGACCGATCGTAGCATTCAATCCTTTGAGTCCTAAGCAAGAAAGTATGCGTTCTAAGTTAGGAATATCTGTTAGAAGCCAGTCTACAGCAGTTAATAGTACATATATTTGTAGGCTCTATCCCGGATGGTTCCCGTCCTAAGTTGATAGGTAGTTACACCGTGCCAATGTATTGCTGGCACAATGTAGAGAGGAATATATATATACTTGTATGTCTTTGATGTCTGCAGTTCATAATGCTAGTTCTATGTTGTTTATTTTATCTATTAACAATGTAATTAGGTAATATTTTCTTGGACAGACTTCGCCCATGTCATTATCAGTCTAACACCTTAAGGTAGGTACCAGCGCCATAAGTTTCTAGAGTCAATTAGTAATATGAGTAGTAATAATCAGGAGTGTACAGATCACATTGAAGCCTTGAAAATTAAATAACCTTGATTTGCCTCTTGCTGACACCGGAGTCATTGTGAGCCCCTCGATACATGGCGAAATTACATCGAAAATCCGGTTTGAATCGAAGGCTGGCTCTGCCAAGATGTCAGCTCGCTGAACTACTAATAAGATATGTGCATGGAAGGAATGCAGCAGGATTCGCCCCACAAAAGGAAGCGAGGCGTATCTTGGGTTTCGAACCCAGGTTAAAGGAAGGGTTTTTAGGCAGCTAGATAGTTATTTTCATATAAAGGGGGAGTCTTCTAGAAGTGGGAATGGCCGAGATGTAGAACACAGATTATTTTTGAAACAATATTTCAAAATGTTGAACACACTTTTGATCACTTTTGGGCGTCGATCCATAGCATTTTTGTCAATAGCGAGTCTTTTGGTCCTCTGCCTTGCCGACTACACTTTGGCAACCAAGATAAGAGCCGGCAGTGACCCCACGGTGATGAAAGTGGGAGACACCTACTACTCGGCTGAATCGGCAGATGGTGGCATCTATGTTCGTGCAGCATCTTCATTCAAAGGTCTCGGCGTCTCCAATGTTCGGCGCGAGAGAGTATGGTCTGATGCCAACAACAGGGGTGCTGTCTGGGCTCCAGAGATTACTACAGATCTCGGACGCACCTATATCTACTTCTCGGCAGGCGAGGATGCAGCTCATCGTATGTACGTCATCAGCGCTGACTCGCCTCTTGGCCCTTCCTCGGTCGAGTCTAAGCTCGCTTTGCCAGACGAACAATGGGCCATCGACGGCACCTTCTTTGTCTTTGAAGGGGAGGGCTGGTTCGTCTGGTCTGGCTGGCAAACAGAGAGCGAGAACTCGGAACAACCCCTGTACATCTGCCGCATGGAAAGCCCTACGAAGCCCATTGGGCAAAGATACATTATCTCGCAACCTCGGGAGTCATGGGAACAGGGTGACAGCCCCATCGTCAATGAGGGGCCCCAAGTGATCATCGACCCTAACGGCCAGCTGCACATCGTCTACTCAGCCAACGGCAGCTGGGGCAGCAGATACTGCCTTGCCGATCTTCGACTCCGCAAAGGCGGTAATCCTACGTACGTATGGGATTGGTACAAGTCGAATGGCTGCCTGTTCGGTTCGCATCAGGACAGGATGATGAGGGGCTGGGACACAACCCTGTATATTGACGGGCCAGGACACCACACATTTGCCCTCCTCGATGGTGATGTAAACAAAAGTCCGGGAGGGGCCGACCACATCCCGTTCATGTTCCATGGCGTCGAGAGGGGCACCCCGTACAGCTGGGAGGCCCGCAGTTGGTTTAGTGGCAGTTTTGTCTGGTGGAGCAAAACCATCTACAGCCGGAATAATGTCCCCGGGGAGAGAAGCAATACAGGATGTAGCTTCAAGTTTTTCGAATAAGCAAAGAAACTATATTTGCTTTTCTTTTTTCTTTCCATCCTTTCTCTTTCTCCTTTTCTTTTAGGGTTTTATCATTAGAGTATGATTGAGGGCTTCTAGCCAATGTTATCAAAGAGAGCTGGTCTTTGGACATAAGATCACCGATATCAGTTGAAGAATTCAACATCTGTTCTGCTACGCAAACTTTGCTCTCTCCTCCCCTGAACACAATGGTGTGGCAAGAGAAACAAGGAAACCTGGGTACACATAGTAAGAGATAAGAGCCTTTCAGTTCATATGCAGTCCCGCTAGGTGCCAAGCCGGGGATAAGGGCCGGACATAATAGAGTGAGATAGGATGTTGAGGGCCGCTAGCCAACAACCCATGGCGAGCCTTCTAAGCAAACGGAGGCGGATAGTACACCAAGTTTGTGCCCAATACTGTGGCACGGATAGCTATCCAGTGATATTATTACTGTGGCGCCTCGGCGGCCGCAAATAGCAGGGCCAGATGCCACCAGGTCAAGGAGTTCGTCCAGGTCTGGTAGTAGAGCCAGCAAGTTGGCTTTACCACTCAGGAAACGAAGCAATGCTGTCCTGGACGTCCCTTTTCCATGGCATCTCTATCTCGAGCACCTCTCGTTCGGCCGTCAACCTTAGTCACCTTACCTAGAGCCCCGTTGTGTCTATTGTGGAGGATGCAAATGATGCAGCTGAGGATACATACGCGCGCCTAGCGCGCCTCTTGTCGACACAGCTGGAGCATGTTGTTGACGACGTGTGATGGAATAGACGGCGTATAGTGTATATAGAAGTAGATTATAAGATTAAAATATTATATAAGAGACAATATCAAAAGGCTTGCGTATACTAGCACTGACTTCACCGTGACACGCTGACCTCTTTTCCTACATTATAGTGATAGCTAATTAATGCAGTGGGCCATGTTGGCCTATCTCAGCACGCATTCCAACATAGTCTGAGGAGCACCGAAATCTGTCACATACGACCATACCCATTGGAGAACTCGGGATCCCGTCCGCTCTCCCATGGATAAGCCAATGAGGGCCGGATTAGTAGTTGGGTCGGTGACGACCAGCGAATACCTGGTGTTGTATGTTTTCGACTCTTTTGTCTCCTTGTCTTGTAAGGTATCTATTGACACGCTCGCGAGCCTCTGTTAGTGGGCATGAGCACAGGAGGGTTTTGCAGTTGTGAATCATTTGTTGACGTGATAGTTGGCTTTGTATTGTTGCTTCCTGTGTATCTGGCTCAGCTAGCCTTAGCTGCCAGGGTGCCTCGAGCTGGGTCACATGGATGACCTAGTTTTCTTCCTTAGAAAAAAGACTGTTATACCGTGGTGATCACAAGTACATTCTGACCTTCGTCGCTAATATGCCACTTTTAAGTGAGATACTGGCAGGAGCAGTGCCACGACTATGAGCAACCGATGTTGCGTAGACATCTATTAGCCCTCTAGCAGTATGTTTTAGCTCTAGGGGCGCTTAGTGTAGTTTCTACTAATTAAGCGCCTATAACTCTTAAGTGTAAGAGTTCTCAGTTAGTAGCTAGTGTTACTCAGTAAATAAATAGGTTTTGATTATATAGATTATTTATTTTATAAGGTTAGTAAAGAAGTTAAAGTATCTTAATTTCTTTTCTTGTTACCTATCTTTAGAGGTTAAATAGTGTATCTTATTAACTCTTCTTGTTTCTAGTTGTCGTAATACCTCTATAATATTGTGTAGCCTTGTAGGGATCTAACTAGAGCTAGAACATCTATTAATATAGTACCTACTGCCTAGATCTACTATTAAGACACGTATATCTACTATCAAGTTCTAGCTTCCAGCAAAGGGACTCGAGTGAGTTCATGCTCGAGGTGTCGTTGGCCCTTTTGACAAGACCTTGTCTGATGGACTGAAGTTTGAGGGGAATTGTGCCTCCGTCTCGACGAAAATCCGACTCCCGAATGTTCAGCCTTCTATTAACATGATGCACCCTATGTATATTATATACCGCTGTAGATCTTGATGGCACTAGATCCGCCCTCATGGCGTGCCTGCGTGCCTCTCTTGGTTCTCATATATGTCGCCACACGAGATCAAACGCATGTACTCATCATGAATTGATACCCTGCTCGACCTTATCACCCATCTGAAACGGTGTGCTGCGTACGAACGAGGAAGTAGATGTGCAACTAATAACGTCGCAATTCAACGTTTTAAAGTTCAGAACTCTTGTCGGCAATTCTGCCTGATGGCACGTCCTACGAAACGGAGACACGAGTCAGGAACAACATTAACCCGCAGAACTAGGCTCTGAAGATTTTCCTGTCACGTCATAAACGCAGATGCACCCCGCCGGTTCTAACCAAAACCCCTGGGAAAGTTTTACTGTGGTCACAATCCTGAACAGAATAAGCTCCAAATACACGTTTCGCTCAGCGTCAATTATATTCCAGGAATCCCTATGAAATACTACGCCATTTACCTTGCGCTTGCCGCGCTGGCCGTCCTCGCCACCCGACAGAATCTAGCAGCCCAGTCACGTAGAAGACGCAGGCTCCACCAACAATCCAACGAGCGCGTCCTAATCCTTGGCGCTTCCAGTGGCGTTGGTCGCGCTGTTGCCAAGCAGTATGCGTCTCGTGGAGCACAAGTCTGTGTGGTGGCACGTCGAGTCGAGGATATCGCTGCTCTTTCTGAAGATTGCGGAGAGAGATGTATCTGGCACGCTGCAGATTTCAGTGACGTGGACAATTTGATCAGTCTAAGGGCTCGTCTCGAAGAGGAATGGCAGGGTTTGGACACTTTACACATCTGCGCTGGCGTCTCTGCTCTGCAGCCAATTATGGCTCTCACTGGGATAAAATCTGACGGCGTTGATGCAGACGCGGCAGGGATTCGAAATGCTGTCGACATTGCAGGACGGGCTTTGAAGGGTAACTTCTATGGACCGTTTGCTTCGGCTCTTACATTTGTGAGTTTTACTGTTGCTCATAGCATGGATACGGCACTAAGAGTTTACAGATCCCCATGATGACAAGAACCTCCCAGTCACCATCAATTCTCCTGGTCTCTTCAGTCGCTGCGGTGATCCCTGCACCAACGAGAGCGCTCTATGCAGCAACCAAAGCCTCTTCGCTCTTGATGTTCCAGTCTTTGGCAATAGAACACCCGAAAATTGCATTCGCCTTCATCCTGCCCGCAACTATCGAAGGCAATTTCCGGGCGTCTGCAGTAGATTCTGGCCCTGTCAGAGAAGATGACCCAAATAAGCACGGGTTAAGGATCGATTATGTTGCTGCTAAATGCATTGATACAGTTGATCGTGGCATCACTGGAAACGTCATCTTGCCCAAGTTTCCGTACGCTGTTGCACAGTATCTGTACCTTCTCTGGCCATCTTTCATCGAGGCTCGTGCACGCAAGAAGTACAACTTTAAGATATAAGAGAGTTTCGGGTTTAAATTATCGGTAGGATGGTTATGAAATATGCAAGAGCCATGGCGTAGTAAAATGCGTTTTTACGCCAGCCGCGCCGCCAACTTATTTCCGACTTGTCAATTTTGCTGAATCATACCGTGACCACTTTCTAGGTAAAGTTCGTTTTGACGTGCCCGCGTAGCTATGTCACGGAATGAATCTTATCACGGCCATCTTTTATTTAGGAATGGGAGAAACCGTTTGGCTGGCAGAACAAAACACAATCAGCCTCTACTACTACCTGGAAATGGTGGTATCATTATAGCTGTGGATAACATGCTATGAGAGAGGCCCCCCTCCCCCCACGTCGCCGTCCCGCTGCAGTGCATTCATTTGGCCTACCCGGTGAGTATGCTCTGAACCGGCAGATTTTGATAGCGTGCCATCTCCCCCGCAGCATTTCAAGATATACTTGGAAAAGCTTCCAGTTGATTGAAACAGTCGATCGCTGTCATTCACAGTTATTCAATGTCAATTACACTACCGAATAAGAGCAGTGATCAGCAGATGGATAGTAGCCCGTTACTGTTGAGAATACGTTCAAGACTGCAGGGTTGTAGCGTACTGACTTACGTAATGAACGAGGAAAACTCTATGAGTTCAGCGATATGGTGTCCGCGTTTGCATTTGCCGCATTTTGCCACTCATGTTTGTGTGAGCATCTATGCCTAAGTGACTGCCACCACTTGGTGTTGTAAATCACAGGTGATAACGAAATGCTACTCGTCAGATGGCAAGCAATAGGTTAACTGGTTTATCTGTAATCCTGACCGTCAAGATCATCCAGTCAAAAGATGTATCTTTGGCTACTGGGGTGAAGGTGGTTGCGGGGAAGAGACATGTAAAAACGACTGCACAGCTCCGCATAGAGTTTCCTGATATCTTGGCACAGGCAAGTTCGCCAAATCGGACGTGGAATCAGGCTCCACGTCAAATTGATATTGCAAGCCCTACTGGAGAGAACACATTTTCTGAAGATGTGCTGCACACCTGGCATTCAACAGTCGGCCAGGCGGGTAAAGGCGAAAGAGAGTGGAGTTGACCTAGCCGAGATCGCGAGAGGTGGTTTGGTTGTGTTGTATGTCTGTGCAGGTGGCTTAGGATAGCTGGTTTTCAATAGGACGAGACTTTTAGCGTTAGCGCCACAATGCGCCTTGTTTTGACTTATATGCCTAGGCAATCCAGGCTGGCTCTTAATGATAAAATCTACCTCCTATTAATATTCTGAATCTTAGTGATTATGTATATATTTGTTTCAAACTGATGGTTGCCATGCTAAGCGGGAGTACTCCGAATATATTTAGCTTTGGCACGAAAAATTCTACAATCCGGCATGGTGTAGCGGTTAGCATACTCCGCTTTCAAAGGAAGGCCCGGAGAGATCCGAGTTCGATTCTCGGTGTCGGAAAAGAACTTCATGCATTTTGCCTTTTGATTTCTCCTCCACTCCCACACCCCCCTTCCCCTGCTCTTTTTTTTTTCTTTTTCTGCTTTTTAAGCCGCCTTGTATACAAAATCCGAGTCATTACTAACATGTACACAGCATGTGTCTTGGAGAGCAAGTCAAGGTAGCTACTACATATTGTGCTCTATCTCATTTTTAGTACTCCGTACGCAGCCCAGCTAGGAGGGAGGGGGTGGTACCTGATGACATGCATCTATCCTAAAAGAGCAAAACCAACATTGTCGATGCGTCTCAAATTGTGCTTAACCAAGCAGTTTGTGCCCGTAAATCCCCTTCAGCTGTGGCGCTTTGAAGTACGATAGGGCATCAATGACCGTTCGAACAATAGCACTGAATCGGTTGTGTAGCTCCAGGAGATCATACGTGGTACGACCGCGGATATAGAGAAGGCCGTTCACCACGGCGTCGCGGCGGCGAGACGGGGCGTAGGGTATTGAGCGAGCGGGTGAAAGTAGATGTTGCAGATAGGAAGTGAGACGAAGTATCCTGATATCTTTTAGGGCTTTAGGAATGACGCTTGACGGGTTCTTGCAGTAAGAATACTTACTAGTATAGGAAGCAATGCGACCAGTGATAACCCATTACAATGTGTCAGAGCAGAAAGGGCGATCCGTGTAAACGCCATTTTGAATAAATACAGTGGAAGAAGAAATAATAATAAGCATGCCAAGCGGTCTTTGAATAAACAGAAGAGCCTATGCCAGTAAATATGCGGTCATGAACTGGCCTCACTTTAGAAGTATAACTTATGCAGCCATCGCGGATGATGAAAGAGTTGTCTCTGGTTGAATAACAAACACCATATCTGGATGTAGCACTGTTTATGCACTAATATGAAATCTTACTGTTGCGATGTTGACCATCGCGGATAAATATCGGAGTTATCAGGTTAACCCCAATGACTCATTGCCAGCAAATCCTCAGATATTTAGCCATAGATTCTCTAAGGATTCATAGGTAATAAGTTAGTTATTTAACTAACTAACCTATAATAATTATCCTTCTTTTTTTTATATATAATAAAGAACTATAGTTACCTTTATTATTTATTAATTACTACTAATATATATAGTTAACTATATTAACTTATCTTTTAGTATTACTAACACTAATTAGTAGTTAACTTTACTATTAACTATATAAGTTAACTTTACTATCTAAACTATAGATTAGTAAAGACTATAAGAAGAAGTAATTATTACTAGTTAATTATTTATATACCTAGAGTAGGCAAGTACTAAAAAACACCTTTATAAATACCCTTACTATAATAGTTTATACTAATTACTTATTATAATAGGTTAATTAATAGATCTATAACTAGTCCTCTTAACTAGTAAAAACCTTATTAATTTATATCTATTATATAAGCTTTATTACTTTTAGAGAAGCGCTTTTAACTATAAAAAACCTTTTACTTTATATACCTATAGCTAATTAGTAATTATTTATTATATTTTATTTATTATAAGCTCTTTAGCTTACTAACTTCTTTTTTTATATATATACTTCTTTTACTAACTAATAGTGTTAATAAGTTATTAATATAATAGTCTATTATTTTCTCTCCTTTTACTAACTAATAGTATTAATAAGTAGCTAATATAATAGCTTATTATTTTTCCTAAGTTATTTATCTATAAGAGTATATTTTTCTCTAGCTATTTATACTACTAGTAGTAATCCCTCTAATAAATATATATGCCTTTTAGTCTACTAGAAAAAACGCCTATGTTTAAGAGGTTATTAGGCTAATAAAGGGCAATAGTAAATAATACTACGCCTATAAGTAGAAGACCTAAGCTAAGATTAGTAAATATAATAAGCTTATAAGTAAGTAAGGCTTATAAGTTACTATACCTTTACCTATAAGGCAACAAGAAGAAGTTTATAGTAAGTATAATATACTACTTAATATAAAGTAGTAAGTAGTAGTAATTAATAATATATTTACTATATTTACTAACCTTATATAGTATATTCTCCTATAGTAATAAAGAAAAGACTATATTAAGAAGTTATTAACTAACTTTATAAAGGAGTAATAAGCTTTTACGCTTAATACTATTACTATATTTTATATTAGTAGTTATAAGTATTATAACTATATTAGTAGTAAATTACTTTACTATACTTATAAGGATTTTAATAAATAGTTTATAAATAACTTTAAGGTAATTAACTAAAAGGTCTTAATAAGCCTATATAACTTCTTTATTAATTATAGTGTATAAGTTAACTATAGTAAACACCTATTAATTACCTAATATATATTTAATATCCTTTAACAAAAGGAAGGCGCCTACTAAACTAATAAAATAATTATTATTATTAAAAGATTATTATATAACTTTAAACTATATCTTAAAGACCTTAACTTTATTAAGAATATTTAAGGTTATAATATAATCCTATATAGTAAAAAACTAGCTAAAGTATACCTATTACTAGTAATTACCTATTAGACCTCTTATAATAACCTAACCTTTACCTTACTACTGCCTTTATTAACACTAAAACCTTATATAATAGCTAAAATTAATAGCCTATATATAATAACTACTATACTACTATAAGAGCTTTTATTAACTATAGTAATATTAATAGTAATATTAAGGCTAATACTAAAGTAAATAAGTAACTTTATAAAGATATACTTTAATAACTAGGCTATAAAGTACACTAGTAGCTAGTATAAGACTATTAACTTAAAATTACTACTATTTTATAACTTTTATATCTAAGTAAGTATAATATAAGACTACTATAGAGTAATAATTTAAGTAATACTCTAAAGTAAACTATAAAAGTATTATACTTTTACCTTTTACTAATAGGTAGGTAATTTTAATACTTTAATAGTAAAGCTTAAAGAATAATTTAAAGGTAATTATAATAGGATTTATAGTAATAGCTATAGGTCTTAGCAATAGATTACTAAGCCTCTAGCGCCCTACCTTACTATCTAGTTTTCTAGCAGTAGAGCCCCTATTATCTAGGCCCTATAAGCTTAAGTCTTATAATATACTAATACCTACTATTAAGCCTTACCTAGTTAAGTGCCTATAGCTATTATCTTATAATTCTTAAGCTTTTATCTCTCTTAAGTAACTAGTATAGGCAAGATAGATTAGAATAATAGTAGATATACTAATTACTTACTAACCTATTATTAATATACTACTAGTGTAGACAAGCTATAGTTATCTATAGCTAAGTACTTAATATACCTAATTAAAGGTAAAGACTAACTACTATTATTAGAAAGGTTTATATAAGGACCTAATAAAGAAGAAGTACAAGAAAAGTCACTATTATAAGGCCTAGACATACTAGACTTACTAATAGTTAGTAATAATACCTTTATTAATAAATAGTTATAGAGTAGTTAAAGTATTAGTATAATTATATAAAGTTAAAGGGTTCTAGATCCTATATAGGTAATAATATTATACTTCTAAAAAACTATAAAGACTATAGTTAAAGAACACTAAAAAGAACAAAGGTATTATAAATACCTCCTATAAAAGCTTACTAACTAACTAGTGTAGTAACCTAGTAGAAAAGAATACAAGAAACCTTTATTCTATAACTATAGACTCCTAGAGAAAGAATCTATAAGTGCCTAAGTAATAGATTAGATTAATACTATAAAGGTAGCTAATAGGCTTTATCTAGGGAGTACTATAAAGTAATAAGTTAAATAGGCCTTATTAAAGGTATTTTTATTATTATAGATATAATAGTATAACTATAAAAAGAGGCTTACTAAACCTTTAGTCTAGGATAACTTCTTAGTGTTTATTTACTAAAAGTATATTAACCTAGAGGCCTAGGAGTAAGACTACTAGTAGAAGCTTTAAAGGATATAAATATATAATAGCTAGACCTTATTATAGTACTTTACTAAGTAGTTAGTAATATACTATAACCTTAGTATAGAAGATATAGAAGACTTAAAGGCTAAGGCTTACTAATACTTTTTTAGGTTACTTTACTTATTATAAAATAAAATAATCTAGTAAAAAGTGCTTATCTTCTATATAAAGAATATAGCCTATAAAGCTAATTAATTATAGTTACTAAAGGACTAGAAATTTAGTAAGAGGTTATAAAAGGATAATAAAAAGCGCCCTTAGAACACTAATAAGCACCTATAGAGGCCTATACCCTAATAAAAGGATTAGAAGAAAAAGGCCTTAAGGGACTTAAAGCTAGTAAATATAATATACTACTAGCTAAAAGGTAACTAGTATAGTAGTTAGTTATATAGTAGCTAGTTACTAAAAGGTTAACTAAAGTTTAAGTACTATTTTATTTATAACTAAAAAAGGTATCTTATAACTATATACTTAAAAAAAAAGTTTAATAGTATAAGTAATAGTAGGCTATTTAATTACTAACTAGACTAAGGAGCTACTATAGTATAGTATATTATAATAGACCTAAGAATTTAAGAGCTTAATCCTATAGAAAATAAGTAGGTATAAGTAATATACTTAACTTACTTATACCTTAGATAATAAAAGTACTTATTAAGGTAACTATAACTAGTATAGTAATTATCTTATAAAAGGATATTAAGAAGATTATAAAAGTATTAATAGATATATACTCTAAGGTAGACCTTATTAGTAATAGACTAGTAAAGTACCTAGGCCTTAAGCTAGCTAAAGTAAGAATACTAACCCTTAAGGTATTTATAAGAAAACTAATAGGTTAAAGAAAGGCTTATTAGTTAACCTTCTTCTTAATTAATAATTAAGGTTAACTATAGAAGATTTACTAACTAGTTATTAAAATAGACAAAGGAAAAGACCTACTTAATATCCTTATATCTAGATAGTCTATAGGCTAAGAAAGTATTTAGATTAATATAGCTACTAATAAGTAGTATTATAAGGTAATCTTTATTACTAAGCCTAAGGTAATTACTTATAATATAGTTAAAAATAAAGAGTAAGTATATATACTTTATATCTTCTATAAAGTTAGTAAACTAGTAAAAATAAAACTAGTAGATATTCTCCTAAAGAAGCTTAAGAGTAAAATAGTAACCTTTAATAAAGGTTTAGTAATAGGACTATAGGTCTATAATAAAGTAAAATATATAATTAACCTAGAGCTAGGGAAAAAGCTACTATTTAGGCTAATTTATCTATTAAATAAAAAACAGCTAGAGAAGCTTTACTAATATTTTACTAAGAACTTAGTAAATAGATATATTACTATATTTACTAGTAAGGCTAAAGCACCTATATTATTTATACTAAAGAAAAATAGTACTATATACCTTTATATAGATTATTAAGGCCTTAATAAGGTTATATAAAGAATTAGTATTTATTACTATTAATTAGTAAGCTATTAGATAGGCTTTAGGAAGTAAAATAGATCTTAAAGGTAGACATCTATAATATATATTACTATATTAATATTAAAAAGAAGACTATTAGAAAACAGTGTTCTAGACTAGATATAGTTACTTTAAATATATAGTTATACCCTTTAGCTTAATAAATACACTATAATATTCTAGGCGTTTATTTACTAGGCGCTTAGTAACTACTTAATATATATTATATTATATATATAGATAACCTTATAATTTACTTTACTATAAGGGAGTAATACACTAAGGACCTTAAGAAGGTCCTCTAAAGGCTTTAGATATTTAGACTATTTATAAAGCTATCTAAGTATTTATTTTATTAATAGAAGGTTAAATTCCTAGGGTATATAATTACCTTAGATAAGATTAAGATAAATAAGTCCTAAGTGTAAATAATTACTAACTAAAGGCACTAAAG